GATTGGCAACACGAGTCTGGGCACACGATACCTTATTCATGAGCATCTGCCAGATAACTTTGTTCCATACCTCTCTATCCTCCACTCCTTCCAAGTTATAGAGACGGTTTCTCTTCGTTTTCCTTCACGGTGGTAATTCATACTCCAAACGAAGACTGCGGTATAAACAGCGATAGCCATTCAAAACTTGTGTGATCTGTTTTCTTTCTGGCCCAGGTGGGCTTCCCCTACAGAGAGTTCAATTAACCTTTGGAGTCTATAAGGGCGTACAGGTTGTTTAATACCATTGTCATTTCTTGTCTTGTATTCCACCTCATCCCGAGTAAAGCTCGATTTACTCTGTCGTGACAAACAACTGGCCCTGAGAGGATTACCACTTACTGAGGAACACCATTTTGGGGCCGGCCCTCCCTCCACTCCAACCACTCTGCCCTCGTGGAGCGCCCGAGAAAGGGGGAGGGCGGGGGGGGGCCAGCACGGGGCTGCCAGCGCCGCGCGCGCACAGACACACACGGGTAATCGGCCAAAACGGGGAACCGGTCGTCTGGATCTAAATGGGAGCGGGTCAAATCAGGGATCTGGGCTTTGACCCCTGGAAGCCCTGGCGACAAGAAATCAGGCTGGAAATCTGCGTTGGACCCCTAGCAAACCTTCGGAAATCCTAGGGATCTGGCTCAGATCCCTAGCGAACCCTGGGAAATCCTAGGGATCTGGCTCAGATCCCTAGCGAACCCTGGGAAATCCTAGGGATGTGGCTCAGATCCCTAGCGAACCCTGGGAAATCCTAGGGATCTGGCTCAGATCCCTGGCGAACCATGGGAAATCCTAGGGATCTGGCTCAGATCCCTAGCGAACCCTGGGAAATCCTAGGGATCTGGCTCAGATCCCTGGCGAACCCTGGGAAATCCTAGGGATCTGGCTCAGATCCCTGGCGAACCCTGGGAAATCCTAGGGATCTGGCTCAGATCCCTAGCGAACCCTGGGAAATCCTAGGGATCTGGCTCGGATCCCTAGCGAACCCTGGGAAATCCTAGGGATCTGGCTCAGATCCCTAGCGAACCCTGGGAAATCCTAGGGATCTGGCTCAGATCCTAGCGAACCCTAGGGAATAAAATCCTAGGGATCTGGCTCAGATCCCTAGCGAACCCGGGAAATCCTATGGATTCTGGGCTCAGATCCCTACTATCGAACCCTAGGAAATCCTAGGGATCTGCTCAGATCCCTGCTGAACCCTAGGGGATTCCTAAGGGATCTTGCTCAGATCCCCTAGCAAACCCTAGGAAATCCTAGGGATCTGCTCAGAACCCTAGCAAACCCTAGGAACTCCAAGGGAATCTGGCGCTAGGAAATCCTAGGGATCTGGCTCAGATCCCTAGCAAACCCTAGGAAATCTAAGGATCTGGCTCGGATCCCTAGCAAACTCTAGGGAATTGCTGGGGATCTATTTCAGATCCCTAGCAAACCCTAGGGGATTCCTAGGGATCTGGCTCAGATCCCTAGCAAACCCTAAGGGATTCCTAGGGATCTGGCTCAGATCCCTAGCAAACCCTAGGAAATCCTATGGATCTGGCTCAGATCCCTAGCAAACCCTAGGGAATTGCTTGGGATCTGGCTCAGATCCCTAGCAAACCCTAGGGAATTGCTGGGGATCTGGCTCAGATCCCTAGCGAACCCTAGGGAATTGTTGGGGATCTGGCTCAGATCCTTAGCAAATTCTAGGGAATGCTGGGGATCTGGCTCAGATCCCTAGCAAACCCTAGGAAATCCTATGGATCTGGCTCAGATCCCTAGCAAACCCTAGGATATCCTATGGATCTGGCTCAGATCCTTAGCAAACCCTAGGAAATCCTATGGATCTGGCTCAGATCCTTAGCAACCCCTAGGGAATTGCTGGGGATCTGGCTCAGATCCCTAGCAAACCCTAGGGAATTGCTGGGGATCTGGCTCATCTGGCTCAGATCCCTACAAAACCCCAGGGAGGCTGGGAATCTGGGCATCAATCCCCTAAGCAAACCGTAGGAAATCCTTATGGACTGGCTCTCAGATCCCAAGCCAACCCTAGGGAATTCCTATGCATCTGGTTCAGATCCCTGTGAACCCTATCAAAAAACCGTAGGAAATCCCAGGGATCTGGCTCAGATCCCTAGCAAACCCTAGGGAATTGCTGGGGATCTGGCTCAGATCCTTAGCAAACCCTAGGGAATTGCTGGGGATTTGGCTCAGATCCCTAGCAAACCCCAGGGAATGCTGGGGATCTGGCTCAGATCCTTGGCAAACCATAGGGAATCCTAGGGATCTGGCTCAAATCCCTAGCAAATTCTAGGGAATCCTAGGGATCTGGGTCAGATCCTTGGAATCCCTAGGGAATGCTAGGGATCTGGCTTAGATCATTGGGAATCCACAGGGAATGCTAGGGATCTGGCTCAGATCCTCGGGAATCCCTAGGGAATGCTAGGGATCTGGTTCAGATCCATGGGAATCCCTAGGGAATGCTAAGGATCTGGCTCAAATCCTTTGGAATCCCTAGGCATCCCTTGGAATCCCTAGGCAATGCTATGGATCGGTTCAGATACCTTGGAATCCATAGGGAATGCTAAGGATCTGGCTCAGGTCAGTTCCCTGGATCTGGCTCAGATCCTTTTGGAATCCTTTAGTCAATCCTAGGGATCGGGGCAGGATCCCAAGTCAATCCCGAAACATCCTATGGATCTGGCTCAGAATCCCAGCAACCCTAGAAATCCTATGGATCTGGCTCAGATCCTAGCAACCCCTAAGGATTGCTGGGACTGGCTCAGATCCCGAGCAAACCCTAAAGAATTGCTGGGGATCTGGGCTCAGATCCCCAGCAATTCCCAAGGAATCCTAGGGAACGACTCCCATCCCTAGGCAAACCCTAGGAAACCTAGGGATCTGGCTCAGATCCCAAGCAATTCCTAGGACATCCGAAATCCTAGGGATCTGCCTCAGATCCCTAGCGAACCCTGGGAAATCCTAGGAAATCCTAGGAAATCTGGCTCAGAATCCCTAGGAACCCTGTGAAATCCTAGGGATCTGGGCTCAGATCCCAAGCGAACCTGGGAAATCCAGGATCTGGCTCAGATCCTAAGCGAACCCTGGGAAATCCTAGGGATCCTGGCTCAGATCCCTAGCGAACCCTGGGAAATCCTAGGGATCCGAGCCCTCCTCCTCCTCCTCCTCCTCCTCCTCCTCCTCCTCCTCCTCCTCCTCCTCTTCCTCCTCCTCCTCCTCCTCCTCCTCCTCCTCCTCCTCATCATCCTCCTCCTGGTCCTCATTATCCTCACCCGCCTCCTCCCCTATCATCCTCCTGCCTCATCCACCTCCCCCTCCTCGTCCCCCTCATGCTCCTCATCCTCTTCCTACATCTGATCATGGTTCATCATCATATTCCTCCTCCTCCTCCTCCTCCTCCTCCTCCTCCTCCTCCTCCTCATCATCATCATCATCATCATCATCATCATCACCTCCACCACCACCACCACCATCATCTTTCATCATCTTCACACATCATCATCATCATCATCATCATCATCATCAGCAGCAGCTGCATCATCATCATCATCATCATCATCAGCAATCATTAGCATCATCATCAGCAACATCATCATCAGCATCATCATCATCATCCTCATCCTCATCCATCATCATCATCACCTCATTCCACATCAGCCTCATCATCTCTCTTCATCCTCATCATCATCATCAACATCATCATCATCCCCATCATCATCAGCATCATCATCATCAGCGTTCATCATCATCACATCATCATCATCATCAACAGCATCATCATCATCATCATCATCAGCATCATCCATCATCATCATCATCATCATCATCAAGCATCAAATCATCAGCATCAATCTCATCATCATCAGCAGCAAACATCTTCATCATCATCATCAGCATCGTTCATCATCATCACCATCATCATCATCATCATCATCATCATCACATCACCATCACATCATCTCATCCTCCTCCTCCTCCTCTTTCCTTCCCTCCTCCTCCTCCTCCTCCTCCGCCTCCTCCGCTTCCTCGTTCTCCTCCTCCTCCTCCTCCTCCTCCTCCTCCTCCTCCTCCTCCTCCTCCCCATACTCCTCCTCCTCATACTCCTCCCCCCTGGGCGGCCTGGACACGTGAAAACACTTGGCTCCAGCTCGGGACCACCATGTTAGATACCCCCTGGGTGGCCAGGTCACCATGTTAGATACCCACCTGTGTGGCCTGGACACGTGAAAACACATGGTTCCAGCTCGGGACCACCATGTTAGATCTCCCCCTGGGTGGCCTGGACACGTGAGAACACGTGGTTCCAGCTCGGAACCGCCATGTGAGATACTCCCTTCGTGTGGCCTGGGCACGTCGCTCGTACCATGTTTTTTTTTGCAACGGAGACGGCCGAACGCGGTTCCACGGAGTCGAGGCGCGCACACGCTTGACATCGATTCAAACAAGCGGCAGCACGCTAGGGAGGAGGGCGAGGAGGAGACCGCAGGGGAAGAACAGGAGAAAGAGAGGATGCGCTCTGTCACAGCAGGACACTGTACATATGTACGCTCTGTCGTCGCAGATCCCTATAGGTCTCTGGAATTCGACGTAAATGTCGGCGGGACACACCAATTCACCCCTTGCGGGCGGGCAGGCTGTCCGGACAATCGCTCCCGCGACGAGCGGCGAGCTCTACAAGGCAGAGTTCTTGGGCGGGCTCGACCGCCCCGCGCGGAGCTGGGAGCCCTCGGCTCAGTAGCCAATTGCGACGGAACCCTTTAGATCCGAAGCTTGACCATACAACCGCGCCTCGAGGGACAACATCTTCTGGCACCCTTTCTCAGGCGCCGCCGCCTCCGTGTGGTCATCCTCTCCCAACAGCCCTCCGACACGATACCCAGTGCGCTGAAGGTTCTTGACGTAGACGTTCAGATACGGCTGCCCCTTGTCGGTGTGACCGCTGCCGACTTTGAGCTCCACAAGCCCGAGTTTCAGCCACTTCGGCGTCTCGTCACGCGCGTCGTGAGCGTCGAAGTGAAAGCCTCCAGGCCGCACCTTGTTCGCCCACGTCCCTGTGGCGTTGATCTCCTGGAAGTACATGTCCGAGCAGTGTGTCCCCAGTCGACGCGCGTCGGCCTCTACAACAAGCAGCGCATCCTCGACGGGCGTTCCGCGCGGAACGCTGACCAAGACAGCTTTGCCTGGCCTCACCAAATCGAACCGCTGACCGAACATGTTCTGCAAGTGTGGATCGCCGGTGGCGGAGGACAATGACATCGTCGGTGCTGGCGTTGGTGCTGGCGTCGACGCCTTGTGAAATGCGACCCAAAGAGGCTCCCCAGACGCCCCCGGGCGGCCCCAGGAGGACGCACCCCCCCGACTAGACAAAACATCGATTGCCGTATAGTTAGTAAGCGATTTGGGATTTCCCGTCCTTTTTGTCTGAATACCGCCCAAGGTGACCCACAAGGCTGGGGGCGTCATCTGGCCAGGGGGCCCCTGGCATTGGCCCCCCCGTTACAACAAGGAAGAGCATATAGGCGCAACATCCACGAATCCTCAACGTCTGTGCTAATCCCACCAACCTCTGGGCGTAATCTGTCAAGGGCGCCTCCTATTCCAACAATGTGTGCCTCCCCTACGATTCAAGGCGTTCCCACTGACCCCTAAGCAGAAACACTCCCTCCCCCATTCGACAGGCCGAAGGCCAAGAGCAATGAGGCCCTTTTCTCCCACGCCATCCTTCCAACAAGTTAGCCTGGCGAAAAGCCCAACATTATGCAGTTGTGAGTACCGCAATCCCACCAGCCCTTTGGGCGTGAGTGGTGTAGAAAGCCCGCTCTGTCCTCAACCCCCCTTCTTCCCCTTCGGGGAAGGGTTTACCCCTCCCCCTACCCCCTCCCCCTGGACCTGGACAGGGAGTCCGGGGTGGTGTCAGGGGGGTCCATTTCGACTCCTCGGAGGGCCAAAAAACGACGACCATCACGAGGATTCTGGCCCCGACGGGGGGAGGGAGTTTGGCCCCTCTGCTCGTCTTTGAAGCAGAAATCATTGATTTTACGAGGGTTTGGGCCCCATTTTGGCCTTCCGAGGGGCCCGCGCTCATCTTCCCTCATAGCAAAATCATTGATTTTACGAAGGTTTTGGACTCATGTTGTCCTTCTCAGGGGGCAGCTCTCATTTGCGCTTCTGAGGAGGTCGCAAGAGGCCCCAAGATGGCCCCAAGAGGCCCCCAGGAGGCTCCCAAGAGGCCTCCAAGAGGCCCCCAAGAGGCCCCCAAGAGGCCCCCAAGAGGCCCCCAAGAGGCCCCCAAGAGGCCCCCAAGAGCCCCCAAGAGGCCCCAAGAGGCCCCCAAGAGGCCCCCAAGAGGCCCCCAAGAGGCCCCCAAGAGGCCCCAAGAGGCTCCAAGAGGCCCCCAAGAGGCCCCACGAGGAGCCCGAACGACTCACACCAGGACGAGGGGCCCGAACGACTCACACCACGAAGAGCCCGAACGACTCACACCACGACGAGGGGCCCGAACGACTCACACCACGAAGAGCCCGAACGACTCACACCACAAGGAGGGGCCCGAACGACTCACACCAGGACGAGGCGCCCGAACGACTCACACCACGAGGAGCCCGAACGACTCACACCACGACGCGGGCCCCGAACGACTCACACCACGAGGAGCCCGAACGAGTTACACCAGGAGGAGGGGCCCGAACGACTCACACCAGGATGAGGGGCCCGAACAACTCACACCAGGAGAAGCCCGAACGACTCACACCAGGACGAAGAGCCCGAACAACTCACACCACGAAGAGCCCGAACGACTCACACCAAGAAGAAGGGCCCGAACGACTCACACCAGGACGAGAAACCCCAAACGACTCAAATCACGAGGAGCGCTTTCTCTCCCTCCTCCTCCGCCTCGTCCTTCTCCCGCTCCCCTCGCAAGGAGGATGTATAAGGAGGCGGGGGGAAGGAGGAACGGGGGAGATATGCGGGGCCAAGCGGACACACGCCTGAAAAACACGACTGTCGGCATGCTTCGCGAGAGTTGCTGCTATGAGATGGGCTGGTGGGGATACGCGAAGCGTAAAGAATTTAATTTAACCCGACGCACAGCGTCGGGTTTTAATACAACTGCGGAAAGACTTCTCTGGCAGCGGAGCCTGTCGAATACTGAGCGCTTTGCTGGAGACGGAAAGCTGCTGAGTACCGGATGCTTTGCTGGAGACGGAGCCTGTTGAGTACTGGGTGTGCGATCGGGCGGGCGGACTGGTCGGGCGGGCGGGCGGGTCGGCCGGGCGGACGGGCCGGGTGTTTAATACAGCTCCGAAAGGACTTCTCTGGCAGCGGAGCCTGTCAAGTACTGAGTGCTCGCTGGAGACGGAGAGCTGCTGAGTACTTGTTGCTGTGCTGGAGACAGGGGCCTGTTGAGTACTGTGTGCTTTGTTTGCTGGAGACGGAGCCTGTTGAGTACTGGGTGTGCGCGCGGGCGGGCGGACAGGTCGGGCGAGCGGGTCGGCTGGTCGAGCGGGCGGGTCGGGTTTTTAACGCAACTCCGAAGAGACTTCTCTGGCAGCGGAGCCTGAATGCTCCGCTGGAGATGGAACCTGTTGAGTACTGTGTGCTTTGCTGGAGACGGAGCCTGTTGAATACTGGGTGTGTGGTCGGGCGGGCGGACGCGTCGAGCGGGCGGGTCGGCTGGTCGGGCGAGCGGGTTATTGACAGGACAGAGGGGACATGCCAGGAGGACGCGCCGCGAAACGTCCCAAGGGACGCGCCAGGCGACGTGCCAGGGGACGTGCCATGGGGTCGCACCGTAGGACGTGCCAAGGGGACGCGCTACGGGACATCCTCAAAATTCCTGCGCGCGGGACGTGGCACGCGCGAGACATCCCCGGAATTCCTGCGAGCGGGACGTGAAAACAAACATTTCGCCTGAGACATCCCTGCTCGAGACATCCCCCAAGTTTGCAAAACCAGCGTTTCGCTCGAGACATCCTCAACAAATTATGAACATGATCGACCCACGAACCCGGAAAGGAATATAGACATTTAAGGCATGGCAACGTTTGAAAGACACCTGATTGGGCGACGGGCAAACGCAATGCTGAGTGTATCGATCTTGAGGTACCGTGCCGAGGGCTGTGCTGTGCTGCGCTGTGCTAAACTGCCATGTGCCATGGCGCGATTGTGCTCTATAGCGTTGTGGATCGAGTCCTCCATTGCATCCGAGTCCTGACCGAACTGATCTGGATCTTAAGCTCGAGCTGTCTCAACACGAAGTAGCTGCCCCAGAGCTAATTGACAGGGGAACATGCCAGGAGGACGCGGCGTGGAACGTCCCAAGGGACGCGCCAGGCGACGTGCCAAGGGACGTGCCACGAAGACGCACCGCGGGACGTGCCGAGGGGACGCGCTACGGAACGTGCCAATGGACGTGCCACGGCACGTGCCAGGAGACGCGCCGCGCGACGTGCCAGGGGGACTCGCCACGGGACGCGCCACGGAACGTGCCAGATTGCAATGCTGAGTGTATCGATCTTGAGGTACCGTGCCGAGGGCTGTGCTGTGCTGCGCTGTGCTAAACTGCCATGTGCCATGCCGCGATTGTGCTCTATAGCGTTGTGGATCGAGTCCTCCCTGGCATCCGAGTCCTGACCGAACTGATCTGGATCTTAAGCTCGAGCTGCCTGAGCAGATGGTAGCTGCCCCAGAACTAATCGACAGGGGGACATGCCAGGAGGACGCGCCGCGGACCGTCCCAGGGGACGCGCCAGGCGACCGGTCAAGGGACGGTGCCATGGGGTACGCACCGTAGGGAGAGGAAAGGGGAGCGCTAGGGGGGGGGGGGACGGGACATCCTCAAAATTCCTGCGCGCGGGACGTGGCAACGCGCGAGACTCCCCGGAATTGTCCTGCGAGCGGGACGTTGAAACAAGCAACAAACATTTCGCCTGAGACATCCTCTGAATTCAGCCCCCCCCACTCTGCCAGTCTCAAAGGCCCGACATGACGCTCGAGACATCCCCTATCTCCACTTCGACATTGCAGAAACTCGCGCAACGTTTCGCTCGAGACACCCTCAACAAATTATGAAAAACATGATCGACCCACGAACCCGGAAAGGAATATAGAACTGCAACACATGGCAGCGTTTGCAAAGACACCTGATTGGATGACGGGCAAATGCAATGCTGAGTGTATCGATCTTGATGTACCCTGCCAAGGGCTGTGCTGTGCGGCGCCGTGCTGAATTGCGATGTGCCATGGCGCGACTGCGCTCTATAGCGTCGTGGATCGAGTCCTCCTTTGCATCCGAGTCCTGACCGAACTGATCTGGATCTTAAGCTCGAGCTGCCTGAACACATAGTAGCTGCCCCAGAGCTAATGGACAGTGGAACATGCCAGGAGGACGCGCCGCGAAACGTCCCAAGGGATGCGCCAGGCGACGTGCCAGGGGACGTGCCATGGGGTCGCACCGCGGGACGTGCCAAGGGGACGCGCTACGGAACGAGCCAATGGATGTGCCACGGGATGTGCCAGGGGACGCGCCACGAGACGTGCCAGGGGGACTCGCCAAAGGACGCCCCACGGAACGTGCCAAGGAATGTGCCAAGTTGCAATGCTGAGTGTATCGACCTTGATGTACCGTGCCGAAATCAGTGCTGTGCTGCGCCGTGCTGAATTGCGATGTGCCATGGCGCGATTGTGCTCTATAGCCTCGTGGATCGAGTCCTCCATTGCATCCGAGTCCTGACCGAACTGATCTGGATCTTAAGCTCGAGCTGCCTGAACACATAGTAGCTGCCCCAGAGCTAATTGACAATGGGAACATGCCAGGAGGACGCGCCGCGAAACGTCCCAAGGGATGCGCCAGGCGACGTGCCAGGGGACGTGCCATAGGGTCGCAACGCGGGACGTGCCAAGGGGACGCGCTACTGAACGTGTTGGGGACGAGCGTTTCGCTCGAGACATCCTATCACAATCATCCGAATTCCTACGCGCGGGACGCGGCACGCGCGAGACATCCTCGGAATTCCTGCGAGCGGGACACGAAAACAAACATTGCGCCTGAGACATCCTCTGAATTCTGGCCCCCCACGAGGCCCCCGCTCGAGACATCCCCCAATTTTGCAAAACCAGCGTTTCGCTCGAGACATCCTCAACAAATTATAAAAAACAAGCGTTTCGCTTGAGAAATCCTGTCAAAACCCAAAGAAATCAAAATTCCTGCGTGCGGGACGCGGCACGCGCGAGACATCCTCGGAATTCCTGCGCGAGGAGCGCTTTTCCGTGTCGCGGTCGGCTCTGCA